ACAGACCCACCACAACCAACTTTAACTACTGGCAAGGTTTGGAGGGAATTGACTCGGGGTGCTGTGAACCCAAATGGAGACGGACCTGGACCAGACTTCGCACACAGACCCACCACAACCAACTTTACATACTGGCGGGGTTTGGAGGGAATTTACTCAGGATAATGGGAGTTGTAGTTCTCAAATATCCAGAGAGCGCTGTGAACCCAAATGGCGACGGATCTGGACCAGACTTGGCACACAGACCCACCACAACCAACTGTAATTGGCCAGGTTTGGAGAGAATTGACTCTGGGTGATGGGAGTTGTAGTATTCAAATGTCCATAGAGTTCTGTGAACCCAAATAGTGATGGATCTGGACCAGTCTTGGCACATAGACCCACCACAACCAACTTTAATTACTGGCAAAGTTTGGAGGGAATTGACTCAGGGTGATGGGAGTTATAGTTCTCAAATATCCAGAGAGCACTGTGAACCCAAACTGCGACGGATCTGGACCAGACTTGGCACATAGACCCACCACAACCAACTTTACATGCTGGCCAGGTTTGGAGGGAATTGACTCAGGATAATGGGAGTTGTAGTTCTCAAATATCCAGGGAGTGCTGTGAACCCAAATGGCGACGTATCTGGACCAGACTTGGCACACAGACCCAACACAACCAACTTTACATACTGGCCCAGTTTGGAGGGAATTGACTCGGGGTGATGGGATTTGTAGTTCCCAAATATCCAGAGAGTGCTGTGAACCCAAATGGCGACGGATCTGGACCAGACTTGGCACACAGACCCACCACAACCAACTTTAACTCCTGGCAAGGTTTGGAGGGAATTGACATAGGATGATGGGAGTTGTAGTTCACCAACATCCGGACACCTGACAACTTTGGATGCTGGGAGTTGTAATTCTCCAGCTTCCAAAGAGCGCTGTGAACCCAAACGGTATTGGATCCGGACCAAAATTGACCCACAGACCCATCACGGCCAACTTTACAGCCTGGAAACAAACCGGCATCTTGCGATTATTGTTATTGGTTCCAAAACGACGTACGTTTGTTCCGAAATGCCACGAAGAGAAGGGTCCCGGCTATCAACGCAAGGAGGGCGAACATCCCTCCGGCTGCCCAGCCTGAAAAATAGAAGATTGAATTGAGAAGATTGGAAACTTACCATACAAACTTAATAACAAGGCTAATAATAATAATAATAATAATAATAATAATAATAATAATATAACAATACAAAAGTAATTCTGTCTTCCTGCCTGGCAGAACGGGGTTGGACTGGATGGCCTTTGGGGGTCCCTTCCAGCTCTATTAGAATAATAATAATAATAATAATAATAATAATAATAATAATAATAATAATAATATAATATAGTAATTCTGTCTTCCTGCCTGGCAGAATGGGGTTGGACTGGATGGTCTTTGGGGGTCCCTTCCAGCTGTATGAGTCTAATAATAATAATAATAATAATAATAATAATAATAATAATAATAATATAGTAATTCTGTCTTCCTGCCTGGCAGAATGAGGTTGGACTGGATGGCCTTTGGGGCTCCCTTCCAATGCTAGGTTTATATTATTATTATTATTATTATTATTATTATTATTATTAAGCAGAAGCTGGATGGCCATCTGCCAGGTGTGCTTTGATGGTGCTTCGCCTGGATGAAGGCAGAAAGGGGTTGGATTGGATGGCCTTTGGGAGTCCCTTCCAGATGTATGACTCTAATAATAATAATAATAATAGTAATAATAGTAGTAATAATATAGTAATTCTGTCTTCCTGCCTGGCAGAACGGGGTTGGACGGGATGTCCTTTGGGGGTACCTTCCAGCTGTATGAGTCTAATAATAATAATAATAATAATAATAATAATAATACAGTAATTCTGTCTTCAGGCCTGGAAGAAGGGGGTTGGACTGGATGGCCTTTGGGGGTCCCTTCCAACTCTATGAGTCAAACAACAACAACAACAACAACAACACAATAATGGATAATGATATAATAGTAATTCTGTCTTCCTATGGGGAAGAAAGAAGGGGCTTGGGGGTCTCTTCCAACTCTAGGATTTATTATTATTATTATTATTATTATTATTATTATTAAGCAGAGGTGGGATGGCCATCTGTTGAGAGAGCTTTAGTTGTGCTGCATGAATGCAAAAGGCAGCGTGGACTGGATGGCCTTTAGGGGTCTCTTCCAACTCTAGGATCCTATTAATGTATCATTATTGATGTATTATTATTGTTATTTCTATTATTATTATTATTAAGCAGAGATGGGATGGCCACCTGTCAGGAGGGCTTTCGTTGTGCTCCATGAATGCAAAAAGCAATGCCGACTGGATGGCCTTTAGTGGTCTGTTCCAACTCTAGGATTCTATTAATGTATCATTAGTAATGTATTATTATTATTATTATTATTATTATTATTATTATTATTGAGCAGAGGTGGGATGGCCATCTGTCGGGAGGGCTTTAGTTGTACTGCATG